AATAACCATGATACACAGTGCCGTCTGCAACATGAGAAATAAAACCCTAAGTACGAGAAGGTACTCAGCTAGACTTACTCGTCATAAACCAGAAATAAAATGACTCCAAGGATTATGCAAGGCTGTATAAGTGGGGATAGCTTGACAACATTTTGCATAAAAGCGATTAACTTAGTTATACAATTATGGTTCCAATATCAGGTTAATTATAACTATCCATCTCTAGATTAGCAACTATTTTGTGCCAAACATGTGGTATATCTATTTAAAAGCATACAATAGTAACCATAGCAGGTATTGCAATTCCATATTCATCCGAACCATCATGTTCCATAACACAGTCACTACAATGTTGGGACTAGCCAAGTTTCTCACTATCCGGGAGAGACGACGATTCGAATCGATTTCAACCAGCTGGGAATTTATTCCTAACACAAACCCAGGCATACCGTGCGAAGGTAGTCTTAGGTCACCTTTGGTATAACTCAGGTACACATTTCGCGGGTCCGTACCGCGCCGCACAATCTGGGACACCAGATGCCAGGAGGTTCAGGCCTAGCCTGCCCTTGGGCTCAGTCTGATCGCCCCCCGCAAGGAGCGCACAACAGAACGGGTCCCGGCATGAGTTGAGCTACTCGGCTTCATGGTCGGAACGAGTTATCCGGCCAGCTAAGTGATAGGCATGCGTTCAATCTTGTCAGAAGCACCAACAACGGTACGGTCCTTAATCGGCTCAGACGGAATCACATGAGTCATCCTACGCATAGACTCCGCCCGGCCTCAATTTTCATTTACCCCATGGTTCTGTTCCACGATAGCAAATATAGCCAACCGTGCTCCGGTATCCACCTATATCTCGCAGGTGACAGGACATCACCTGACTTCTACCGGTCTAAGCATGGCTAAGCATATGTTCGATCCTGGACCTATACCGGTTAAAGGTGTAATATCTGGACAAGGAATTTATATGCATCAAGTGGTTCCATTCAACTCTTATAACCTAATGCATCAATCATAAGTACTTAAGTAATCATTTGTAAAATACTGGGAGACTTAGAATGTTCCGGGGCTTGCCTTTTAGAAAAGAAGTAGGGCGGTGATCAAGACACTTCGAAAGCTCTTCAGGATTCTGCTCCTCGCCTTTGGGAGCTGCGACTTGAGGATTCTCCTGCTGGTCCCCTTCCTCTACTTCGTCGAATTCTAGCAACGTTATTTCTTCCTCCGATCCTAGATGCATGAATATGGCATAAGATATTGCGAATGCAAATATGTTAACAAGTGTGGTTTGATGATACATGAAGAATGCATTCTGGCAAATATTCTTAATGGCATGTGGTTTAAGTAACAACAAGTGCATCGCGTTTGCTGAGTAGGTGCATATCTCTTCTTGATTATGCAATCAATTACTTCAACAATTCATCAACTATCTCACAAACAGCAGCTAATTGTTTTACTTATAACTGAAGTTCTACAACTTTTATTTAATCACCAAAAGCTAATTCACACTTTATCTTAACCAAAACAGACAATCAATCCAGCGCTGTCCAGAAATTCCAGAGAGCAAGCAATTCGGAAATGCTAACTTTAAACAGAAATAAATCCTAAACTGTTTGACCTATGGCTCTGAAATTTTAACACAATATAGATGAAGAAGTTACCTACAACTTTGTTATTAACCATTTTTACAGCAACCATCATTTTGACTACGCAACATTGTAAACCATAGAATCGGTCCGAAAACTCTTCTCTCCCGAATTATAAAGCAACGATATTTCTATTGCATATAAACATTCCAAATTTGACTTCACCAATCATACCAACAGTACAAGGACATCAAATACACTCAAGAAAACATAATGGCCATGCCCAAACTATTTATTTAAATGCCTTTATTAATTTACAAAGATACTTAGGTTAAATAATAAACATATACCAAATGTGCATCATAATTTCTCAGAAAATTACAGTGGCTTACTAGTGCTACCAATAGACTATTGTAAAAGTTTCATGCCATTTTACCAAGTAAAACATCCTATACAAAAATGACAAGGCAGCAAGGCTTGAAATAGCATAAATAGAAAACCCTAGTGAAATGTGTCAAGCAACAGATTTTATATTTTTCCTAGCATACATATGGTACTAGGATATCCTCCAACAAATTTCATGAATATTAGATTCATAAATAATTTATAAAAATTTATACAAGGATCTCCTAATTATAAAAGGAAAATCTATAACTACAAATCTATACATGCACTGATCCTCAAATTTTTACCAGAGCTCATACATGTCAAGAATAGCTTTCTACCAAAATTTCATAATTTTTGGAGCACAGGAACTCTAGATATAAAATAAACAAGTTCGCATGCATTCAAAAACACATTTCAAATTTCTATTTAAATCTTCCAAAATTTCTACTGTAAGTATCAAGACTATATTTTTCCTAAATACTACACTTCCTAAGTAACACTACCAAATTTATTTCACAATTTTTGAAGCTACAAAGCTGGAGATACAAATATTACAAAACAACACAAAAAATCTAGAATTAATGAACTATCCTATACTCTCACTGTCGCTGACCGGTGGGACCCGCATGTCAGACGACCCCACACGTCAGTGACCCGAAATAGGGCAGCGGCGCTGCGCGGTGCTAGCGCGGCCAGAGCTCGTCGCCAGTGAGCTTTCTGGCGAAGCCAAGGGAACCAACACGATCTACTAAGCAAACCGCGTCGGATGGTCTAGGTGGTGGCCGTGCAGGTGCGGCGGAGCGGGCTCGTCGCTAGCCATGGCGGCACGGCGACGCTGCTCTGCGGTGTGCCGGCCGTCACCGACCACGGCGAAGCCCGACGAAGCGCGCAACAGCATAACGGCGACCAGGCGACTCTATCTAGGCGGCTTAGGCGATGGGAGATGCTCCGACGAAGCACGGCCACGGCAGCGGCCATGGCGGCACTCCGGCGAGGGTGTACCCGCGACGGCGCAAAGCGAAAAGCGGCTCACCTAGGGCACAAATGAGGGCGCTGCAAGGTGGAGATGGTGGAGAAGGTTGAGGTGGAGTTGCTAGCTCGGCTGATTGGCCACTAGAGCGGAGGCGAGCGCTGTAGATGGCGACGGCGGAGGCAGGAAGAACTCGGCTTCGCTGTGGGTTAGGGAGGAGGCCGAGGCGACGTGAATGGCGTGCGCTGGGCAGTGCGGGCGAGTGCTGGCGGGGTTAAGGCGCTCACTGGCCCGCCTTGGCCACACGCGGCGGCTCAGCTCTGAGCCGGTCGGCCACTGAAACCAGCGATTCAGTTTGTTCAGTCGCGCGACACTAGGCCTGACAGCGTACTTTCGTGGAGCTTGATCTTCTAATCCGTGAAGTAATAGTGCACACAATCTACACAAAAGTTGTAGCTCTAAGTACCATATGTAATTCATCTTAAACAATCAAGACCTAATTCGCAACGGTTAAGGAGTAATGTCATCCCAAAGTTGGGGTGTCAGTGCTGTCAGTGGAGGAAGACTTTGCGAAAATTGCTAAGTGTTGAATCCAGTGATTTATCCATTTTTGTGAGCTCAAAAATACCAAGCTATGCACATAATTATCTCAAGACCCAAACATAAAAGTTGTTCCTTATATCAAATACTACAACTTTGCTTTAGTGACCACCTCCATGCAAGGTCTCTAACACATAGTTCAAACTTGGTCAAACAGGCTACATTCAAATGATGACTTGAACAAGAACTATGACTTAGTGATCTATTTAGCCCTAGCCATGAATACCAAAGTTGTTCATAATGATACTCTAAACATGTTTAAGCAAATGGCAAGGTCATACAATCTTTTCATGTATTAGTCACTCATAGTGCTATCTAGTTTAACACATGAAATCTTAAGTGTTTGGTCATGAAAGGTGACATTCATGAACAATGTTCCACTAGTCATCCTAAGTGTAGCTACGATGTTTTAGTGACTAACATCAACCATTTACATATATTCACTCATGATCATAAGCATACATACAAGGAAACATAAAATAAGAAAGCATGTTTCATATGTTTCAATCCAATGTTTCAATTGTAAATGCTTGTTTATGAATGCTTGATGATCATGCTCATGCTATGCAAGTCAAGTTATGCAAGTCTAACACCTAGGGTGTTACATTTTTGTTAGACGAAACTACCGTAGCTTCTACAAGTTTCAATATATTCTCTAGTGCGCAAAAAAAGATTCAATATATCTCTGCAAAACCACTACCTCATGAGATTCAGATGTGCTGTGCTGACGTGATGGCTGAGGCAGTACTCTAACGTGGAGCATTGGGAAGCCCTTAGAAAGGTCGCACAAAATTATGAAATCAACATTACAATGTCATAAGGTTACACTAAACTACAACTCCATGACACCATAAAAATATGGAACTCAAGAGTGGCTTCTTAGGGACTACTCTAAAGCTGAGCGGTAAACTGGGAATGGGAGAGCAACGCCTGCAAGTCCTCTATTTTATGACCACACCGTCAGTCTTCCAAGCATAAGATAACTTGAACTTTGCCTCTTCAATGTGTCAGCGCTACATCGGCTGACGATGATCAGATACAGAGTTCAGCTGGGCCAAGGGAAGAAAGGCCGAAGAGGCCTAGAATGGGCAATCCACGCTACACTGGGCCGAAGTGGACGTCCAAGTGAACAGCGACGGAGGCGAACGCACTGCTGCGGCTGAACCGTGTCGAGTGCGTAGATATACATTCTAGTAACTGGGAAAGAGGGGTATCAGCTATTGTAATGAAACCTATCTACTGCTAAGAACTCAACGCTATTTCCGGTTCCTTTGCTTTGCTTCCCTGCCTAGATTCGATTCTTCCGTTCTTCCTTGATCTGCTGCTAACAAAATTGGTACCAGAGCCTACGAATCCCGCAACCCACCGTATCTATCCACTACAATTTTCACCTGCCCACCCTGGAGCCGCACCAAATCGACCACGACTACTTCACTCGATTTCGCAAGCAATCGGGTGCCATGGATCCCAACTTCCAACTCCTACTCGATGAGATCAAGTCCGTGAAGACCACAGTGAATGGAGTCGAGAGTCGTGTCGATGCCGTGGAGACATCGCTGGGCAGCCGGATCTCCGCCATGGACCGTTCTATCTCGGATCGGTTCGGTCGCGTGGAGGGTGCCATCCAGGTGTTCGACGATTGGCGGCCTTCAGTGGATGCGTCTGTGGAGGAGCTCCGATCTAAGGTCAGCACCCTACGCAAGCAGGAGGGTGCGATTGAGAAGATGCGAGAAGAGATGACGGCATTGCACAAGTCCATCAGCTAGGTGGTGCTCGAAGCCGCACCGTCCATGGCCGCCGGCATCCTGGCGCAACCGGTGGTGTCTGCGGCGACTTCATCCGCTGGACACCCAGTTATAGGCCCTGCTGTCGGGCACCGCATCGAACCACATCACCGGGAGTTTGGGTCTCTGACTCCACTCCCGATCAAGGGTACGCTCGATTTCAAATCCCACCCGTTTCCCAAACCCTTTCCCCGTTTGCATCGTTCTCTTTTGAGTCCACAGATTGCAACTGATGAGCGTTTATTTGTTGGTGACATCGAGGGAGTTCGTGATCGATATACACAGTTGGGTCCTCAATACTCCAGTAGCAAGTTGCCAAAGTTCAATTTTCCTGTGTTTTCTAGGGAGAATCCCAAGCTCTAGATCACTAACTGCGAAGATTACTTCGAGCTCTATTCGGTGGAACCACACATGTGGATCAAGGCGGCAACTATGAATCTCTCTGGTGTAGCTGCTCGATGGGTGCAGTCGCTCGACCATCATGGCCGTCAGTTCAGTTGGGAGCAGTTTTGTAAGTTGGTGCTTGATCGCTTTGGGAAAAGTCAGTATGAAGCTCTGATTCGGCAGCTATTCAGGATTTGTCAGGCATCCACCGTCCAGGAGTATATTGACAAGTTTTCAGAGTTGGTCGATCAGTTGTTGGCTTATACTTGGCACACAGATCCCCTATTCTTTGCGATGCGGTTCATGGATGGCCTCCGTGATGACATACGCAATGCCGTTCATATGCAGAGGCCAAATTCCTTTGATGAAGCTTGTGTGCTGGCCTTATTGCAGGAAGAGTTGCTGGAATCTACTCGGTGCCAAGAGGGTCGGCGCCCCAAACCTTTCACTTCCAACAAGTTTGCCGGCGTCCGACCCACTGTGACACAGATTCCACTGGCTGCTGACAAGAATGACAACGCTGCACTGGCGGTTGGAGCTGAGCGGCGTGGCCGTGGTGTGGAGGATCGGCTTAACACTCTCCGTTCATATCGCCGTGCACGTGGTCTCTGTATTCATTGTGGAGAAAAATGGTCCCGTGATCACCGTTGTTCTGAAAACATTCAGTTGCATGTTCTACAAGAATTTTGGGATATTTGTCACAATGATGCCAGCTCTGATGACAGTCAGCCTGCTAAAGAGCCAACCGAAGCTCAGATACTCTTGGCAGTGTCTCTTGCAGCTCTGAATGGCAGTGCAACAGCAAGTACTATGCAATTCCAGGGAGCTATTCAAGGGTTACCAGTTAAGATTTTGTTGGACTCGGGCAGCTCTCATACATTTGTCAGTTTTGCTCTAAGCTCCAGGTTGACAGGACAAACTTCTCTACCGGTACCTCTCCGTGTTAAGATTGCTGATGGCCAGGTTTTGGACTGTGCTACCACTTTTCTGCAGTTGGAATGGGAGGCACAGGGTTGCTCTTTCCATACAGATGCCAAAGTACTCCCTCTGGCTCACTATGACTTGGTGGTGGGTATGGACTGGTTGGCTCAGTATAGCCCAATGCAAGTTGATTGGGCACAGAAATGGTTGGTCATTCCTTATGAAGGCGCTTTCCGAACATTGCAGGGGGAGCTACACAGCTTGCCTCCCGGCTCGGTAATCCAGGTGACTACGTTGACGGAGGACAGCCCTACTTTTGCTACACCCACTCAACCGGCCGCTATAACTCAGCTTTTGTAAGAATTTCAGTCTGTGTTCGAACCACTACAGGGTTACCCCCCGGAGCGTGCTTTTGCGCATGAGATTCCGCTGATACCGGGTGCAGCTCCTGTCAATGTACGACCCTATCGTTACCCCCTGCTATCAAGGATGAGATTGAGCGCCAGATCACTACAATGCTCACCTCCAGCATTGTGCAACCTAGTCAAAGTCCTTTTTCCTCTTCTGTACTCCTTGTCAAGAAGAAGGATGGGACCCGGTAAAGGCCATCTCAACGCCATCACAGTAAAGGCCAAGTACCCGGTGCCTGTGATTGAGGAACTTTTGGATGAGTTGCATGGGGCGTCCTGGTTTTCAACTTTGGACTTGACCGCCGAATATCATCAAATTCGTCTGAAGCCGGGTGAAGAACATAAAACGGCATTCCAAACTCATACTGGACAGTATGAATTCCGTGTGATGGCGTTTGGGTTGACTGGAGCACCCGCTACTTTCCTGAAGGCCATGAACATCACATTGGGGCCCTTATTGCGCAAGTGCGTGTTGGTATTCTTTGACGATATCTTGATATTCAATCGGACTTTGGAAGAACACATTGAACATGTACGCCTTGTGCTGGAACTGCTGCAGCGGGGCAGATGGCAAGTAAACTTCTCCAAGTGTGTCTTTGCTCAGCAACAGTTGCATTATCTGGGCCATCTGATCTTTGAACAAGGAGTTGCCACTGATCCGGACAAGGTGCAGGCAGTGTTGCACTGGCAAACTCCTTCCTTTGTCAAGGAATTGCGCAGTTTCTTAGGTTTGGCAGGCTATTACCGTCGCTTCGTCCGCCGTTTTGGTATGATCTCTCGGCCCCTCACTGATCTTCTCAAAAAAGGGGCTCTATTCGTGTGGACTGAAGTTCAGGAGCACTCATTTTTGGCACTCAAGACAGCTTTGACCTCAGCTCCGGTTTTGGCCATGCCCAACTTTTCTAAGCCCTTCGTCATCAAAGGATCGATGCTAGTGGGACTGGTGTCGGTGCGATCTTGATGCAAAGCGAGGCCATCCTCTGGCATTCTTGAGTAAATCTCTCGGTCCTCGTTTGCGGGGCCTGTCCCGTATGAAAAAGAGTATCCGCAATTCTTATGGTGTTGAGCGATGGCGCGATTATCTACAACTTCTTTGAGTTTCACATCCTGACTGATCACAAGAGCTTAGTACAGTTGGAGGACCAGCGTCTTCATACCCCGTGGCAGCAAAAGGTTTTTACTAAGCTCCTTGGGCTGCAATATCGCATTGTGTACAAGAAGGGCATTGATAATGGAGCGGCCGATGCCTTGTCACGAGCTCCGGTAGTCCAATGTGTTGCCATGTCGGTCTGCCAACCAGAATGGTTACTTGAAGTGCTGCAGTCTTATGCCAGTGACCCTGTGACTCAAGAGTTGTTGGCCAAGCTCTCAGATTCCTCAGTGTCTCCACCTAATTACACTCTTCAAGATGGTCTAATTCGTTACAAGGGCCGTATATGGGTTGGGAATGATGCTGTCGTGCGTTTAAAATTGGTGCAAGCAATGCATGCCGGTAGCAAGATTGGTGGACCTGATGGGCTTCCGGTAACTTACGGCGCACATTAAGCAAAGATTTTATTGGCCTAGTTTGAAGGCTGAGGTGCGTGCTTTTGTGACTGAATGCAAAATCTGCCAGCAGGCCAAGCCTGACCGCAGCAAGCTTCTAGGGCTTCTTCAACCGTTGCCAGCGCCTGAACGTTCCTGGAAGGTGTTATCTCTGGATTTTGTGGAGGGATGCCTATGTCTGAAGGGTACAACTGTATTCTGGCGGTCGTGGATCTCTTCAGCAAGTATGTTCATTTTCTCAGTCTGCGTCACCCCTTCACCGCCGCTACAGTTGCCAAGCTCTTCATTTCTTAGGTCTATCGCCTTCATGGTATGCCTTCAGCCCTCGTCTTTGATCGTGATAAGATTTTCACCAGTGCTCTATGGCGGGAATTGTTCAAGTTGGCCAAGGTAGAGCTTCATATGAGTACTGCCTACCACCCTCAATCAGACGGACAGACCGAGCGGGTAAATCAGTGTTTGGAAACCTTCTTGCGTTGCTATGTTCATGCTTGTCCCAAGCAGTGGCATCAGTGGATTGATTTAGCTGAGTTTTGGTACAACACAAGTTGGCATTCGGCACTAGGGCGATCTCCTTTTGAGGTGCTTTATAGATATGCTCCTACACATTTTGGCCTCAGTTCTGTCGATGAGCAGCCTGTTACTGACATTGCTGGGTGGCTGCATGATCGTGAGCTGATGTCTGCACTTATACGGCAGCATTTGCTCCGCGCCAAGCAGCGTATGAAGCATGTTGCTGATTCCCATCGTTCATAGCGTCAGTTCCAAGTTGATGATCGGGTCTTCCTCAAGCTTCAACCCTATGTGCAAACGTCAGTTGCTGATAGAAGCAGTCAGAAGCTCGCTTTCAAGTATCTTGGACCTTACAAGGTGCTGGCACGTGTTGTCTCGGTGGCGTACAGGCTGGAACTTCCACCTTCCTCTATGATCCATCCCGTATTCTATGTTTCGCAGCTCAAAAAGGCGGTGGGTGCTCTGCACACTGTCACTACAACTTTACCTCCGGTGTCGGCTCAATGGAGTATTCCTGAGCGCATCCTCCAGCGCCGTCAGTTGCCGCGTGGTAAGAAATTCATTCAACAGAGTCTTATTTAGTGGTCTAACATGCCAGTTTCTTTAGCCACTTGGGAAGACCTGGAATCTCTGCATCAGCAGTTCCCTTGCGCCAATTTGTGGCTGCAACATGGCGCGCAAGAGAGGGGGAATGTCAGCGCTACATCGGCTGACGATGATCGGATACAGAGTTCAGCTAGGCCAAGGGAAGAAAGGCCGAAGAGGCCCAGAACGGGCAATCCACGCTACACTGGGCCGGAGTGGACGTCCAAGTGATCAGCGACGGAGGCGAACGCGCTGCTGCGGCTGAACCGTGTCGAGTGCGTAGATATACATTCTAGTAACTAGGAAAGAGGGGTATCAGCTATTGTAACAAAACCTATCTACTACTAAGAACTCAACGCTATTTCCGGTTCCTTTGCTGTGCTTCTCTGCCTGGATCCGATTCTTCCATTCTTCCTTGATCCGCTGCTAACACAATGGTGCTTCAGATCATTATGCCAATTTATACATAGACAAAATGCTGTTGCTCCCATCACTCTGCTACTGACGGCATCTGCAGAAGCTATGCATGCCGTATACGTACACAGACAGACTGTTCGCTTGCTCGTAAACGATCCTAAATTTCTAACCGGTAATAGTGTTTTTCTCTCACACTAAACCAGCCAGCAGTAAATAATCCACGATATGATACAGCCTTCCGAACAGGCTGAAGAATCACAGGTTTCGGTCGGGAATAAGAGGAAGTTTGGGCAGGAGTCCGCTTTCTTCTACCCAACTGCATCCACAGACGCATGCCTTCTCCCTCGTCCCTCCTGCCGCTGCCTTGCACCCCCAATCAACGTCGACGCCAAGTGATTCCATGACTTCCACCCGCCGGAGCATCGATGAATCGTGTTCCGACTTCCGACTGGATCTTCTGCCTTCTAGCGGTGCGGCGTCGGCTCAACTATTTCTTCGCCTGCTCGAGTGCGGGTTGGGACGTTGAGTCATATGGGACGCGTGTGGTGTCGCACATAGGCCGGGGACGCGTCCGATCGACGCGACGACGCGTGTCAGCAGAGCAGTCCGGTGTCGCACGTCTTCGATGGTGCGTAGTAGAATTTTCTTCCTACTAGTACCACCGCCCGCCACGCCTAGAGACCGCTGGTCCGCTCTAAACTGTGGTTCTGTGGACTTGCCGTTCATTTCTTCAGCGGCAGCGTGACAACGAGAGCAATCAAAAGCCGAAAGCAATGGCGGCGGCGGGGAAGACCGTGTGCGTGACCGGCGCCGGCGGCTTCATCGCGTCGTGGCTGGTGAAGCTCCTCCTCTCCCGAGGCCAATACGCCGTCCGCGGCACCGTGCGCGACCCTGGTAAAGGCTCGCAGACCTCCCTCATGGATCCGTCGCGATCCTGCTGGTTTCTTAGCTTCGCAGCGGCGATTCCTGTGTACATGGGGTTGGGGTATATACTTTGTCTGTCCCAAAATAAGCGCTCGTATCCAACGAATTTCAAGTTTAACCAAAAATATATAAAAATGTTTTAATATTTATGATATCAAATCCTATTATATATTTTTATAGTATAAACCTATATATTTTTATAGTGAGTCTAGTTAGAGATATAGATGTCAATACTATTTTTTATTAATCTAGTTAAATTTAAAATTAGTTGATTCTCAAAATACGAGATCTACACTTATTTTGGGACAGAGAGAGCATGTGCGTAGATAGAATTCATTTTTTTTCTTGCATTGAACAGAGACAAGGGAATGTGCAATCATCTTGGAATTTAGAAAGAAGCACATTAGGTTCCAGGTTCTTTTCTAACTGTATTGTCCTGACTCCTGAGGCGTCCTTAGGAGCTGCAAGGTCTAGCCTAAGTACTTCATGTTATCAACATGGAAAGCTACGGCAAAATAACTGATGTACAAAAAGAAGTTTACTTCCGTTTGGTGAAAATATTGGCCCCGTTCGCTTTGCTGAAAAAATAAGCCGAAACACTGTTCCGACTGATTTGTTTGTGAGAGAAAAATATTGTTCCGGTTAAAAAAACAAGCTGAAAAGTACGGATTATAAGACAAGCGAACAGGGCCATTGTAAAACAGAAGTCACATTGTTTCTAACCTGAAAATGAGATACAACCTCAATAAATGCAGGGAGAGTTCAAAAGTTTCTATAGTAATATACATGTTTTATATCAAGTACACACCGGGGATACCTACACTTCGTTCTTTGCATTCAAAAGAAGTTAAAAGTTCAAATAAGGAAGTTGCACAAACAGAAAAAAAATAAAGGAAAAGAACACTCACAGCTGGCTCAAGAAAATTATGGCCTGATTAAATAAAAGCTGAATGAGTATCTTTTTTT